CAATCTTAGTGAACTGTCCCTCAGACAAAGGACTTCTGTCTAAAACATATAAAGAATTAAAAAAAACAGACTGCCAAAACTCAAGAATCCAATCCAAAAATGGGCATCTGAGATGAATACACAGTTCTCAGATGAAGAAATACATATGGCAAGTAAATGCATGAAAAATATGAAAAAATGTTCATTATCATTAGTCATTAGAGAAATGCAAATTAAAACCACACTGAGATTCCATCTCACTCCGGAAAGAATGGCCAGGATTAAGAAAACCAACAACAACAAATGCTGGAGAGGCTGTGGGGAAAAAGGAACTCTCCTGCACTGTTGGTGGGAGTATAGACTGGTGCAACCATTGTGGAGGTCAGTCTGGAGATTTCTCAAAAATCTGGATTTGGAAGTCCCATTTGATCCAGCTATTCCACTTCTAGGCATATTCCCAGAAGAACTGAAAGCATTATACCACAGTGATATATGTGCACCTATTTTATAGCAGCACAATTTGTAATTGCTAGATCTTGGAAACAACCTAAGTGTCCATCAACTGAGGAATGGATAAAAAAAGTTGTGGTATTTTTATACAATGGAGTACTACTCAGCTATAACGAAGGATCACATTGAGATATTTATAAATAAATGGGTGCAGCTTGAGACCATACTCATAGGCAAAATAAATCAAACTCACATGTATAAATACCGAATAGTTTCCCTAGTATAAGAAATGGTAAGAATACATAAAAGTATGTGGTAATCATGATTTCCCATTATGTTGCTTTGAAGCCTTATAATATTTTCATTCATTAGGTGGAATGGTTTTATTCATGGTTGTCTGATTTTATTGTCTGTGATGGTGTGAACAGCTATTTTGAAGAAAACAGACATTATAATAGCTAGTGATGATTTAATATCATCTTGTTTTGAAGTCCCACCAATCTTATGTTCTTCTATTTCCATTGGTTTTATCATGTTGTATCTTATTGGATTTTATTATATGTGATAGTATAAACAAAAATTTTTATAGAAAAGGAGATAATATAGTAACCATTGCCCATTTTCTGTTATTTGTTTTGAATACCCTGTAATACTTTCATTCTCTTGAATGGTTTTACACTGTCTTTGTATGTTTGTATGATAGTATATCAAGTTATACTCATATTTCAATTAAAGAGACACTATGGTAGCTACAATTGTGTTGGATTGTCTTATTGTGAAACACTATGGTGCTTAAATTGTTCTGTTCTGAAAAAAAATAGCTGTCTACACCTTCCCACATACTGAAACTAACTGATACAAAACAGACTAATAGCAATAAAAATGAAGAATAAAAACATTACTGGACTTCACAACAAGATGATAGGAAATCAGCAATGGCTACCATAGTGTTTCAATTTCTTAAAAGTAGTAGTTTGTACCATTACACGTAATAAAATCAAGTCATGTAACCTGTTTAGGAGGAGTTCTAGGCATGTACAAACCTCTACATATACATCTGTCTTTTTCATATTAGAGAAAAAAACAAAACTAAAACTAAACAAATTATGAGAAAAAAGAGTAAATAACACAGAGCCCAATACAATGACAATGTAGGCTTTCAAATCAAGGGGATAAAAGCATAACTAAGGTTGTTATTTTGCATAGTTAACTTCAAAAGAGTTACTCAGATTACCAGATATAAACATGCTAAATTTATCTAAACCTATGAATGTTTACTGTTTTGTTACAAGAACTAAGAGAATTAATAGCACAATCATCTTAGCTATCTTAAGTGTGTATATACAAAATTGTATCTATTTTCTTATTAAGATTTGTATTATATAGTTGTGTGCTCCCATAGTTGGTGCATATATGTTTACAATTGTAATTGCTTCCTCTTGAATCTTTTGCCTAACAAGCATGTAGTGACCTCCTTTATGTCTTGGCTGCTGTCCTTTTTTATTTAAAGAGATTATGACAAGAGGACAGAACAAAGAGATCAGAACAGAACATAAGCAACACAGTACTTCATCACAAGACAACCCATTATTAACAGTAGCTACCATAATGTCTCTTTCTTTGAAATAGTTGAGCATACCTTCACATACAATAATATCAAACACAAAAAAAGAGTATAAAACCTTCAAGAGAATGAAAATATTACAGGGCATTAAGAACAAAATAACAGAAAATGAACAACAGCTACTATGTTAACTCCTTTTTAATATAAAATTGTTTATACTATCACACATATTAAAATCCAATAAGATACAATACAACCAAATCAATGGAAATAGAAGAACAAAAGCATGGTAGGACTTCAAAGCAAGATGATATTAAATTGGCAATGGCTGTGACAATGTCTTGTTTTCTTCAAAATAGCTGTTCATATCACGAAACATAATAAAATCAAACAAAACAGAATAAAACCATTCCAACTAATGAATGAAAACATTATAAGGCTTCAAAGCAATATTATGGGGAATCATGATTACCATAAAATCTTATGTACTCTTACCATTTCTTACACTAGGGAGACTGTACGTTATTTATATATTTGAATTTGATTTATTTTGCTTATGAGTATGGTCTCAAGTTGCATCCACTTATTTATAAATATTCTCAATGTGATCATTCTTTATAGCTGAGTAGTACTCATTGTATAAAAATACCGCAACTTTTTTTATCCATTCCTCAGTTGATGGACACTTAGGTTGTTTCCAAGATCTGGCTATTACAAATTGTGCTGCTATGCTGAGAAATTCCTTCATTAAGACTGTCAGTTTTTAACCTAAGAGATTATTTCTGCTCTGATAACCTCTGTAGCCTCTTGAATTTATTACTTCAGAAACTATATTTTCAGAAACATCAGCTGTGTGACTTCCCACATTTTTATCTTGTTGTCCTCTGTACTTGTTCCAGATAGGCTGGGTGTTTGAGACTGCATTTGGCTTTTTTGTTTTATCATTTGCATCTCTTGGTTAATGTTTTGTTCTTTTCAATCCCACTAGTCTTGACTGTCTCTCATGAGTGTCTTAGGATTCTACTGTGTGCCTGAGGTCCCAGATGCTGTGTCCCATAGTGTAGGAGGTGGGTCAGAAACTTTAATTACTCTTATGTGGTCAGTTTGGTGAGTCCTGGACTTTTCCTGGGTGGACTAGCCTGGGAGTATTGTTGTGAACCAACCTTTAGCTCATATTGGTGCTGTGACTTCAGACTTACAGGTGGTGAATGCCACCTGTTCATGTTGTATGTCCAGTTGGGGCTTTGCTGTATCACTGGGGATCTTACAGACCCAGATGAGTTCTTCCAGTTGGGAAGAGGCCCCACTGGTGCTCTCATCAGTCTGCTCATTGTCCTCTTTGTGGAAAAAGAACTCACCTGTACTCCTACCAGACTTCCAGGGTCTTCCTGGTGGGCAGAGAACTCACTCAATCCCTTATCCATCCACACGAGTCTTTCAGGTAGGGAGATAGGTCCCTGAGACTCCTGCCAACCCACTGAGGTCTTCTGGTAGACAGACTCATCTGTACCCTTGCCTGCTTGCTGAATTCCTCTGAGTAGAGGGATGGGTCTTTGAGACTCCTGATGACCCACTGAGGCCCTCTGATTGGGAATATGCCTGTTGAGGTCCTCTGGTTTGGGAGATGGATTGCAAAGGCTCCTGCTTGTCCACTGAAGTCCACCAATGGGTAGAGCAATCATTGATTCTCCTACTGGCTCACTGAGGTACTGAAAGTGGGGGGACACTGATGCTCCTGTTGGCTGTTGAGATCCTCTGGGTGGGAGAGGGGTCACTGAGACTCTTGCTGGATCACTGAGGTACTGTAGGTGGTGGGAATGGTAGCTGACACTCCCAATAGCTGCTGAGGTCCTCCAGGTGTAGGCAAGGGGTGACAGATACTCTCACTGATTGTTGACATCCTCCAAGTAGGGGGGAGAGGTGGCCAATGCTTCCACTAGCTGCTGAGCTCCTCTAGATGTAGTGATTTAGTCTTCATGGTTTAATTTCTATCAAGTCAATGTGAATTTTCTTTACAGAATTGGTTGTAATTTAAGAAAATTATATAAAATGTTCTGTATCTTAAAGCATAAACACTATTTGACATCATTTTTCAAGTGACACCAAAATCATGAAGTGATTTGTAAGAAACCTTTCATAATAAATTAGTACTGATAGCCTGTAGGGAGGAGTTTGTGCTGAGGAAGTCCTAAATGCATGCACCTATTCTTTTTTCTGGTTTCCTGAAGTGTAAGACCTTAAATCAGATAGGTAGCAAGGCTCTTCATAATTTATGAAGATTCATTGAATTTTTTTTGTGCTTTTGTAGTTCCATTGAATTTTCTCTTTTGTACAAGATGTAATTTGCTATTAGATTTGTATTTATGACAAGAGTTCTTTTCCAAAGATCATTCTATTGTATTACATGGTAACCCTTTTAAAAAACAGAAATTTTCTTGCTTAATAAGATAGATTATTAAGTTGGCGAGCAGCTCTAAAAATTTTAAACTATATGACTGACTAGACCATATCTCTACCTGTCTTGGCATTTTTAGTCATTTTTAATTGGGGAAGACAACTCTAAGGTTTTTATTGGGAACACTCAATAACTCCAAGAACATTTTACTTTTTGGCAGAAACTCAAAGCTGTAATATATAGGAAGGAAACAATAAATCTCTGTAGAACTGATCTTATAAATCCAAAGCCAAACCTTCAAATCTTACATGATGTACTGTAGCCATTACATTAGAATAGAAAGTTCAATTAAAATTATCAGCATTGAAGATCTGAAGTAGCTACTTTATTTAATTTGCAATCTTTGACTAAAATTTGCTATCTTAACCAGCATTTGAATCTCCAAAACAAGTTAAAATGCCAGAGATAAGGCTTTTGGGGAATATTCCCGAGAAAAAAATCAGTGTCATAAGGGGACAATAGATTGCAATAGGCATACCCTCTTGCATCATCATGAATACCAGTTAAAGCTATGGAGAATGTTGCTAACATTGAATTATGCTCTTTTTGCAGGTATGATTGGGTCATTGTTTCTCAGTGGAAGGTCCCATCTCTCTCTTTATAAAGAAAACCACTGGAACAACCTCAGGGATTGGCATCATATTACCATATACTTTTTCATTTCGATGATAGGCGTGGCCAACATCTTACGTGTCACCATTAGTACTCTTCCAGTCTCCTTAACCAAGTTCATGATAGCAAATGCATTTTTTGTGGAGGGTAAGTATGAATAATTTTTCATATGAATATTTTTGAATCTTTTTGTACCATTTCATATATTATAGCCATTTATAATAATATATCTTTAATGTTTTGCTGCAGGCTTGAAATACTGATATTTTTGCATTGTAGGCAAGGGAACAAAGATCTTCTTTATTGGCATTTATTAGAATTAGGCAAATACAGACAAAATGTAATTTTACTCATATTCCACTTCCTTCTTAAAGAATTACTTTCAGTAGTTTCTCATTTTTGGGGGTAAGATTATAATTCTTTCCACAGTTAGAAATAAACACTACAGTCAGAGTAATGGAGCATCCTGAAACTGGGAATCAATTACAATAGAGCAGTTTCTACTAAAGAGAAAATGAGAAGGGAACCAAGGGAAGGAGAGAAAGTGAAGGGCGAAGAGAAAAGCAATTAAAGGAGAATTAAAGTTTTTTATGTACACGTACAAACTCTTTAAGTCAATGCAATCATTAAATACAGCAAATGTAACAAACAAGAACTCAAAAGGGTAAAGTAAAATAAGTATGATTAACATGTGCTATGTGTATATTTCAGTTTTGAACATGAATATAATTATTGTGTATCAAAAATACATATCATCATGAAATTCTGTAAATAGAGAAAAGGAAGAGAAAAGCAGAAAGGCAGTTGGGTAAATTTTGTTTCATTGAATTTAACAATTTTTTTGTATTAGCTTTTATCTTTTACAATCATACCCATGGCCGAGCAATGTTGGACGCTTTTGTGCACCAGCTGGTGGGCTTCGTCTCCTTTTTGACTGGCTTGGTTGCCTTCATTGGGCTCTTCATAGAGAACAATGTGCTTCTGGAACTCCTGCTGTCAAGCTTCATCTTCCTGCAAGGGACCTGGTATTTTCAGGTGAGTTGAGGCTGTCCACTAATTTAGTTGAATACTTGGTGTGTTTAGAATTTGAAGACTTCCTTCGATGTGATATTGTTAGTGTGAATTGCTTCTGGAAGGTGAGGTTCCTTTGTGAGTCCTTGGTAGGGGAATTAATTATCAGAGTATATGTGAGAAATCAGGGGTAGACATCTTCTTTACAAGTTAAATATGCTTTTATGTGGGATCTTAGAATTGATGCTTCTAATCATGATCAAGTCCTATTGCTACAGCTATTTATAATTTTTTTTATTTTAAAGAGGGTGAAACAAAGCATAAAAAAATAGAACAAAGCAGACCAGAACAAAACAATGCAAGTGACACAGGATTTCAAAGCAAGACAACAGGAGATCGACAGGAGATCGACAGAGGCTACCAAAACATCTCTTGGTTTCTTCCAAGTAGTTGTCTATATCTTCAGACACAACGAATTCAAATAAAATGAAATAGTGTAAAACTGATCAAAACAGAAGGATGAAACTTTACAGGCCTTCAAAACTAGACAATAGGAAAATAAACAATGACTACCATAATGTCTCTTGTTCTCTTCAAAATAGCTGTCCATACTTTTCATATATATTGAAATTTAACAATACAAAACAGACTAAAACCACTCTAAACAAAGAATAAAAGTATTACTGGACTTCACAGCATCACGATAGGAATGGCTACTATACTGTCTCTTTTTCTTCAAAGTAGTTGTTCATATCATTATGCATAATACAATCAGTTCTCATACACTGTTTAGGAGAGGTTCTAGGCATATATAACTCTCTACATGTACATCTACCCTTTCAGTATTAGAGGGAGAAACAAAACTAAAACCAAACAAATTATGAGAAAAAAGATACAAATAAAAAACAATAACACAGAGCCCAATACAATGACAATATAGGCTTTCAAAACTAAGTGGTAGGAATAAAATTAAGGTTGTTATTTTGCATAGTAATCTTCAAAAAGTTCCTCAGATTACCAGAAAAAAACATAAAAGATTGATCTAATCCTATGAATGTTAACTGTTTTGTTCCAGGAACTAATAGAATTAGTAGCACAATCATCTTAACTATCTTGTTTGTATACTTTTTCTTTTTTTTCTTGAGTTATTTCCCTGTTGAGCAGATACTCATCCTTTCACAATATTTATTGAGAATTTTGTATCTTATTTACTCTTACCATTTCTTATACTAGGTAGACAATACAGTATTTATACATGTGAGTTTGATTTATTTCACTTATGAGTATGGTTTCAAATTGCATCCACTTACTTATAAAAGACTCAATGTGATCCTTCTTTATAGCTGAGTTGTACTCCAATATATAAAAGTACCACATATTTTTCTTTCTTTCCTCAGTTGATGAATATTTAGGTTGTTTCCAAGATTTTGCTATTAAAAATTGTGCTGCTATAAACATGGGTGCACATATGTCACTGTGGTATGATGTTTTCAATTATTCTGCAAATACGACCAGAACTGGAACAGCTGGTTCAAATGGGACTTCTAATTCCAGCTTTTTGAGGAACCCCCAGACTGATTCCTACAGTTGTTGCACCAGTCTACACTCCCATCCACAGTGCAGAAGAGTTCTTTTCTTTCCATAGCCTCTCCAGCATTTATTTTTTGTGGTTTTATTGATCGTTATGGTTCTTTCTGGAGTGAGATGGAATCTCAGTTGTTTTTAATTTGCATTTCTCTAATGACCAATGATGTGGAAGATTTTTTTCATATATTTATTTGCCTTTGGTACTTCTTCATCTGAGAGTTGTGTATTCATCTCAGATGAACATCTTTGGATTGGATCTTTAAATTTTCAAGGTCTGATTTTTAAAATTCTTTATGTTCCAGACAGAAGTCCTTCATCTGAGGGACAGTTCACTAAGATTTTTTCCCAATTTGTGGGTTTTATTTTTACTCTGTTGGAGATTTCTTTTGACATGCAAAAACATTTTAATAAGATGACATCTTAGTTATTGATTCTGGCAAATATTTCCCATGCAACTTGAATTTTGTTCATGAATTCTCTGCCTATCTGTATGTCTTCAGGATTTCTACTTACTCTGTCTTCCAGCACATTTAGTGTTTCTGATTTAATATTTGGATCTTTGATCCATTTTGATTTTAGTTTAGTGCATGGTGAGAGGCATGCGTCTAGTTTTTTGTTTTCAGCATATGGAGAGCCAGCTTTTCCAGCACCACTTATTAAAGAGACTATATTTCCTCCAATGAATGTGTTTGCCCCTTTGTCAAAGATAAGATGGGTGAGTGTGTTTGTATCTTCTAATCTATTCCATTGATCTTCAAGTCTCTTTTTTATTCTAGTGCCATGCTAATTTTATCACAGTAGCTTTGTAATCTAACTTCAAGTCAGGGATTGTGATTCCTCCTACCTTGCCTTTGTTGCCCAGAATTGTCTTGTTATTCCAGGTCTCTTTTGGTTCCACATTAATTTGAGGAATAATTTCACTAGACATGTGACATGTGCTAATGGTATTTTGATTGGAATTGCATTTAATCTGTGTAACAATTTTGGGAAAATGTCCATTTTCGTAATATTTGTTCTTCCTATCCATGAACAAGGAATATCTTTCCATTTTCTGAGATTCACTGTGATGTCTTTTTTCAGAGTATTGCAATTTTCACTGAATAGATATTTTACTTCCTTTGTTAGACTGATTCCTAAGCATTTCATTTTTTTGAATGCTGCTGTGAAGGGTGTGGTTTCTCTTATTTCTTTCTCAGTGAGTTTGTTGTTTGTGTACAGAAATGCTATTGATTTTTGATTGTTGATTTTGTATCCAGCTACATTACTAAATTTGTTTATCACATCTAGTAGTCTTTCAATGGACTTTTGTGGATCTTCTGTATAGAGTATCATGTTATCTGCAAATAATGATTATTTTCTTCCTTTCCTATCTTTATTCCTTTTATTTGTCTCTCTTATCTAATACTCTGGCTAATATTTCCAGCACTATTTTGAATAGGAGCGATAATAGTGAACAGCTTTGTGTTGTTTCTGACTTTAGAGGGAAAACTTTTTCAGTTTTTGATAATTTAATGTGATGCTGGCTGTTGGTTTGTCATAGATAGCTTTTAACAGATTGAGGTAAATACCATCTATTCTAATTTTCTGTAGGGTTCTTTTCATGAATGAGTGTTGGACTATATCAAAAGCTTTTTATGCATCTACTGAGGTGATCATGTGATTCTTATCTTTGGATCTGTTGATATCATTTATTACATTTATTGATCTGTGTATGTTGAACCATTCTTGCATTTCTGGGATGAATCCCTCTTGGTTGTGGTGTATGATCTTCTTAATGACTTGCTGCATTCTTTTTGCCAGTGTTTTATTAAGAATTTTTGCATCTATATTCATTAAAGGGATTGGCCTGCAGTTCTCTGTTTTGGTTGGGTGTTTCTCTAGTTTTAATACTAGGGTGATCCTTGCTTCCAGGAATGAGTTAGGGAAAACTGCTTCCCTTTCAATTTCATCAAAGATTTTGAAGTGTTGGCCTTAGGTCTTCCTTGAATTTCTTGTAGAATTCAGCAATGAATCCATCAGGACCTGGGTCTTTCTTTTTGGTAAAATTTTAATTACATTTTCAATTTCATTAACTGAAATTGGGTTATTCAACAGTTTTACATCTTCTTGATTCAGCTTTGATAATTCATAATTTTCTAGGGATCTGTCCATTTCTTCTGTGTTATTAAGCCTAAGAGAGTAGAGGTTTTTTAAGTACATATTGATGGTCTTCTGTATTGCCACAGGGTCTGTAGTGATTTCAGCCTTTCATTCCTTATTGCCAGATTTTAGTTTTTTCTTTCCTTTATTAAGTTTGGCTAGGACTTACCAATTTAATTGTTTCAAAGAACCAACTCTTTGATTTATTAATTTTTGTATTGTATTGTTAGTCTCTATTGCATAGAGTTCCAATCTGATCATTATAATTTCCTCCCTTCTTTTGGATTTGGGCTTGACTTGTTCTTCTTTTTCTAGATGTTTTGAGGTGTAGCATCAGATTATTTATTTGTGTTCATTCTGTTTTCCTTATATGGGAATTCACCACAATAATTTTCTCTCTGAGGACTTCTTTCATTGCATCCAACAGATTCCAGTAAGATGTATTTTGTGTTTTCATTTACTTGTAGATACTGTTTAATTTCTTCTTTGGTCCATTGAATATTTAGGAGTATATTATTTACTTCCATGTGTTATGGAATTTTTACAGTTTCTTTTGTCATTAATTTCCAGTTTTATAGTGCTATGATCAGATAATATGCATGGGATAATTTTAATTCTTTTGCATTCATTTAAGTATGTTTTATGGACTAGTATATGGTCTATTTTCAAGAATGTCCCATATGTAGCTGAGAAGAACATATATTTTGATGTTTTTGGGTGGAACACTCTCTACACATCTACTAAGTCTATTCACAGGTTTGATTCAATTCTGCTATATCTTTGCTGGCTTTCTGCCTAGATGGTCTGTCTTTTTGTGTCAATGGGGGTGTTAAAGTCTCCCGTTATAATTGTATTATTGTTTAGTTGAGTTTTTATTTCTATTAATATTTGTTTTATATAGCTGGCTGCTCCCATATTTGGTGCATATATATTTAGAATTGTTATCTCTTCCTCTTCAAGTTTTCCCCTCACTAGTATGTAGTGATCTTTATCTCTTCTGATCAAATTTGGTTTGAAGTTCACATTATCTGCAAACAGTCCAGCTAACTCTGCTTTTTTGAGGGTTGCTGTTGCATGAAGTTTTCAATCCTTTGACTTTCAGTCTGTGAATTTCCTTTTGGGTTGGATGGGTTTCTTGTATGCAACATATAGTTGGATATTGTTTCTTGATCCATTCTCCCAGTCTTTTAATTGGTGAATTGAGATAATTTACATTAATGTTTATAACTGATATACTGCCTCATTTTGTCATGCTATCTTTCTGCTGTTGATTCTTTACCTTTTCCCTCTAACTGTCT